CCGAATGGATTTGTCCACACCAAAATCCTCAAAATCAAAAGGGACCAAGCAAGCATGTAGGGGATCCTCCGTTGAAGGAGGTGGGATTAGATTTTGAATGTGTTCATCAGCAATAGTGATTGCAAAACACTCATTGTCATCTGAAGGAAGTTGCACAGCATTGAAGATATTGAGCTTAACATTCATATTCCCAAAAGAGATATCCATCAATTCGGTTCTACAGTTAATAGAAGCATTAGCTGTAGCTAGAAAAGGACGTCCGAGAATTATGGGAATGTGTTTTCTTGGGTCATGGACTGGTTCCGTATCAAGAACCACGAAGTCTACCGGGAAGTAGAACCTATCCACCTTTATGATAACATCTTCAATGATTCCCCGTGGTTGCTTAATAGATCTATCAGCAAGTTGCAATACTATCGGAGTTGGTTTAAGATCTCCCAAACCAAGTTGTAGGTAAACCGAATATGGAATCAAATTCACACTAGCTCCTAAGTCAAGGAGGGCCCTCTCGATTTTGTTGTCACCAATGACACAAGAGATTGTGGGGGCACCCGGATCCTTATACTTCGGAGGAGTGCTGTGCTGAATGATCGCACTAACATTTTCGATTAACCTCACTTTCTTTGGTAAATGACTTCTGGAAGTGCGTTTTTGAGTGCACAAATCCTTAAAGAATTTTGTATAGGGAGGAATTTGCTTGATAGCATCCAAGAGAGGAAGATTGATCTTTACTTGCCTGAAAACTTCCCACATGTCTTGAATTTTGCAATTATTATTCCCAAAATGTGTCGACTCTTGGAGACGTTGAGGAAACGGAGCTTTTGGCTCATAAGAAGTTTCCACATTTGGGGTGACATGAGTGGGCTTTCCATGAATGGTATTTGGACAAGAAGAGCTTGAATTTGGACTTGAAGAGCTTGAATTCGGATTTTTCAAAGGAGGGTTTTTCTCACTTGTGTCTCCATCAACCTTGTTGTCAACCACTCAACCACTCCGAAGGGTGGTGATAGCTTGAACTTGTTCATGAGTCGGCCCACTCGGAGGAGGGGTTTCATCAATCACATGCATTCCTCTAGGATTTTCAAATGGTTGAGCGGGAAGCTTACCCTTGTCTTTTTGAAGAAGTTGGTTCACTTGGTTAGCTATTTGTCCCATTTGATTTTCGAGCCTAGCTATGGATTGAGTATGGGAGTGAACCATTTGGAGAGTAGGTTGCAAGGATGTCAAGAGATGCTTGTTGGAATCCATGATTTGCTTGTTTAATGATTCCATCATTTGCTTGTTTGCAGCCACTATCTCATCAATTGGATTCACAGGAGGTTGAGTGGAGACATTTGGATTTTATGGAGGTTGGTAGCTTGAAGAGGCTTAGAAAGGCCTACCTTGATATTGAAAAGAGGGCTGATTTTGAGGCCCTTGATTTTGAAGTTAGGAATTTTGTGGGGCTTGTTGCCTCCATGAAAAATTCGGATGGTCCCTCCAACCTGGATTATATGTATTGGAATACGGGTTATGCCTGGGCCTTGAGAACATGGCATTAGCTTGCTCTTGGTTGGGATTGGGAAATTGCTCCGGTGTGGGGCAATCTTCCGAGAGATGGAATGGACTAGTACATGAAGCACAAACCGAACTTGCCGAATTTTGAGACAATGAAGGGGGAAGATGTGGTGCCATCAATTGGTAGAATTTATGAGCAATGGCATCCACTTGAGATGATTCCTCCCTTATTGATTTTTGTTGACAAGGATTGGTGTTCTTTGGAGTGGTTGAGGTTGGAGCCCTACGAGAATTGTGTTGAAGTGAATTTTCACTCAAATTCTCAAGTAAGGTCGAAGCCTCATCCGTATTCTTGGACATGAACATCCCACCACAAGAAGAGTCAACCATGAATCTATGGGTGTCGGTCAAGCCGGCATAGAAAGCTTGCACTAATTGCCATTTTGGGATCAAATGATGAGGACACTTCCGAAGAAGATCTTGTAACCTTTCCCAAGTCTCGTGGAGTTGTTCTCCATCAACTTGAGAAAAGCTTAGAATGGAACGTCTCATTTGGTTGGTTTTACTCACCGGATAATACTTCTTAAGAAATTCTTGTTGCAATTGAGCCCAAGAAGTAATAGAGTTGGGAGCGAGGGAGTTCAACCAATATTTTGCCCTATCCTTTAGGGAGAATGGGAAAAGATGTAAGTGGAGTGCATTTTCAGAAAATCCTCTCAACCGGATGGTCGAACAGATTTCAAGGAACTCATCGAGATGCTTATATGGATCTTCATTATCAAAACCATGAAAAGATGGAAGCATTTGGATGGTACTAGATTTGATCTCATATTGAGCTGCATCGATGTTTGGCATTACTATGCAAGAAGGAGAAGCATAGGTGGTAGGGATGAAATGATCTCTAAGAATCATTGGCTCGATATTAGGAATTTCAGCCCTTTCATTCCCCGGATTTCCTATAGTATCTCCCATTGTATTAAATTCAGTTTCAAGATCCCTTGTAAGAGTAAATTCCCTAAGGTTTCTTCTAAGAGTTCTTTCAAGAGAATTGATATCAATGGGTGAATCGATTGTGGGTAGAGAGAGTGACCTACGACCGAACATCAACAGCACAACATATAATCAACAAAGCAATTCATTATCCACAACTCCACATTCGATATTCCCTTTCTCCTCAATTATCAAGACAGAAAATGAATGGCCACGACAAGGACCGATGCTTATACACAGAATTAAAACAATAATATAGCCTCAACAAAGGCTTGCAAATAAATTAACTACTTCTAAACTTAACACATGCACGATATCTTACAATGTGAAACTAAAAGGTCAAGAAACTTACCTGGGGTCCTCTAGACTTACGCTTTGCTAGCGTTCCCACGGCGAGATTCGAGTCCCTAGAATCTTACAACACGAAAATGGTCAAAACACACAAGGAATATTCACAAGACACAATATTCACAATCAAACTAAATTTAACCCTAGAACTTTGGTCGCTAAACCGTATGCAAGTCCCCGGCAACGGCGCCAAAAATTGATCGATTGATCAACTAAACATCAACCTTCGCAATAGCACGAATCATTGTAAAATAAGGCTATTGGTCGGGTAAGTCGAACCACTGGGACTGCGCTAGTCTAAAGGCAACCTAAGTATCTAAAGTCATTTTAGAGTGATGAGGGGTTTATAAAGAGTTTTGTTGTTTGTCACTTAAGCTAGGAAATTAAAAGTGCATAAAACAATAAATTGCAAGAATTCAAGGGAGTGAAGTACAAGTAAAGAAGGCTAGGGAAATGAATCCACCTCCATCCCTATACACATGCTAGGTTAAGATTAATTTAAGGGAAAAACAACATATATGATAGTCATGATACATAACAATACTAGGTTGCTATAATATCCTTAAGAAGTTCATTTAAATAGGAAGGCAAGAATAAACCATCAAAGGTTCACATGATCAACTACCTAAACTAAAATGTAGCTTAGAACATGCTTACTAAGTCAAGGATTATCAAGCCCTAATTTAAATGGTGAATGCACATAAAGCAAAGAATCAAGTATAGACCATCAAAGGGAAACCCTAAGCCATGAACTATCTAGGTTCTCCAACTCCATGCCATTAAAACCATTCCATGATCTAACTTCCATTGTCACCATGGAAGTGCAAGCAATATGATTAAAAGAAGTAACCATCCAAGACAAGATGAATAACTCACAATAATCATTTATAAACATTCAACATTCATTACAACAAAAATGAGGCTCTTGATCATGGAAAGACTATCAAAAATACATTGTAATCCCCAAAAATAAACTATACTAACACATGCTTACAAGGGAGGGGTTTCATCACCTCCCTAGATGAGGTTTAGTTGCCCATTGGTGAGCTAGAAGAAGGAAGAAGCATCATCCTCATCTTCATTTTCGTGCACCCTCTTTGGAGCTTGAAGAACCCCTCTTTCTTGCTCTCTTCTCTCTCCTCTATCTTGTAAAAATGAAGCTTATGAAATGTGTGGCTCTTATCCCTCTTATCTACCACCAAACTAGGCTCTCTCTCTCCTCCAAAAACATCCCCAACCACCTCATAAAAGAGGGCCATCCAAAATTGGAAATTTTAGAGCACAAGTGGGCTGTCTCGTGGAGCAAACTGCCCAAATTTCAAGTGCTCGAAATAGGGCCTCGAGCACTCGAATTTAGTGTAAAAAGCTCCATGCTTCACTTGCTCCGCCCAGACCTACTTTGATGAAATGGCCATAACTTTGCGCTCCAAACTCCAAATAATGAACCGTTTAAAGATTTGGAAAGCTAATTCAGAACTCTAAAAACTTCATGTTTTGGTGTAGATCGTATTCTCAAGGATGGTTGGTCGAAAATGAAGATCAAGGCAGAATTTCATTGCTGCCAGGCAGTTCTGTGCACCTCTGGTAACAAGGCCATAACTCTCTGCTCTGAGCTCCGAATGATGAACCGCTTGAAGATTTGGAAAGCTGATTCAGAGCTCTAAATATGCCATCTTATAATGGAAGTCCAGTTCTCGAGTTTACAAGGTCAAAATGGCGAGCAAAGTCCTGACTCCACTGCTGCCAGAAATTCAGAATTGTGCCTTTTGATGGCCAAAACTCCACAAAGCCTTGATTTTGCTCCTTTTTTGGCAAATGGACCTGAAAATATATACATACACATAAATGAAGATAATCTACTTAAATAATCAAACGATGGACTTAACTAATGCAATTTAGGGCTCTTGAATATACAATATTCGGCGCTTATCATAGAACCTTTCTTGAATCTCTATTTGACCTACATTGCTAAGTGAACTCTCAAACCTCACTCCTTTTTACTGAATACTAAGCTGAAGATTATAATTGAGTCTATAAATATAAGTTTTAGGACCATATGCTTTCTTAAGGCTGCTCTTCTAATACATCAAAGCATAGGTGAAAAAAAATGAGAAAGCATAAATCAACCATAATAAACAATAAGAGTAAGTACCACTTACCATTTTATGTTCTAGACGAGCATACTCCCTACGACTTGTTATGTGTGGTAACTTTTGCATACTTCGCAAGTCTTGAAATTTTTGTCTCTTTGCCTATAAATAAATAATATAATTAATATTTTTTAAAGAATAAAGTTACAAGAGAACATAATTCGATCAATGTTGTACTTACTTTGTGGTTATCAGAGAGTCGATCACTGACGAACTATTGCCACTCTTCAATTGATTTTATATTGCCAGGTCTCAATAAGTTAATGACTTCTATGTCACCTTCCGCTTCAATTATATCGTTGGTAAGGCGTGATTTGTAATCACTCCAACTCTTTCCCATGCTTTGAAAAGTTGATTTTCTATGACAATCAGGCACTTCAAATAGTTTCTGTGTTGAGTGTAAGAATCAAACTATCAATAACAATATCATATACTTTTGAGTATATTTATGTTTTATTTTCTTTAAACTATAATCTGTAAACTCAACGATCAATAACAATATTGTATACTTTTGGTGATTAGATGTTGAAAATAATATACCTTTATAGCTACCCATAGGAGACGTTGTTTATCTTTTGAAGCTTTTTTCTAGTCTTGACATGAGATTGGTACATTCTCTCATGCTAGTACTCTACAGCTACTAGATATTTTTTCGCTATTCGGACCAACTGGCTGCCCTCTTTCATTGAATTGAATAGGAAGTGGTGAATCAACGACTATTAATTTTGCCTGACCTCTACCTTTATGAGTGCCCTTGCCAGTAGAGGTATTTGTTGCAGCCTCATTTGCAGAGGAACTTCCACTATCATGATCGAGTGGAAGTCCAGGAGAACCTCCAGATTGTCCACCCAACTGTGTGTGGGGAGAGTTTGAATCTCACTCTGATATACTAATCCCCTAATTTCCTTGATTCCTTAATGTATAGTCACAGTAGCATTTCGCTCCCTTCCTCCTTTTTTTGGAGCCATTTTGGAGGACTTTATGGACAACACATGCAAAATAAGGAAATAAAACAAACCATTACAAGTTAATAAAAGGCATAAAAAAAAATTTAAATAAATGTGTATTTTGCTTACTTTTGTGGGACCACGCATGCTGAAATTTAGCTATCTTTTTCCCTCTTCAATTTCCTCCTCCCCTACTCTTATAATGAGAATGACCTATTCATAAAAACAAAAAGTCCAGTTTTATATAGTTATAAGAGATACACAAGATACAATGAATCAATTAACATCATTATATATATGTCATCTTTATTATGTGTCTGTTTATAGTAATATATATATATATATATATATATATATATATATATATATATATTACTATAAACAGACACATAATAAAGATGACAAATAAACCACTCATGTCCAATAGCTAAACAATTTGAATTATGTCAACATACAAATCCAAACCTACGAAAATTAGAAAACCATGTTTAAATTGTTCAGATATGAAAAAAAATATATATATATAGCTCTTTTGTTCAGAAAACCTAAATATTTGGTAGGCAGGTTGAGGTCCGAAAAGCAGCTCTTTTGGGTATGCATCAATATGCATAGAAAAGTTAGGAAAAAGAAACAAACAAAAGAAACTGCAGACACTACCTGTTAATTACGTGGTCATGCCTTCATAATCCAACCGCACAAAATGTTCATCCCCATCATCATTGTTTGAGTCCAATCTTGATACATCTAATGGCATAGAAGACGTATAACTATTTTCTTCAAAAGACTCTAACTCATTAAAACCTCTTGGTGGTGCTTTAAGTACAACATACTAATTGGATGTTTTTTTGTCCCTTGAATAAAAAACTTGCTTAGCCTGTGAAGCAAGAATAAAGGGATCTCTTTGAAACTGACTTTGACCTTCATGAAGGTTAACCAATACAAATCCATCTTCAACTTTGATGCCATTTCTAATGTTTGCCCATTCACAATCAAATATTGGAAATTTAAATGTGTAGTAATCTAATAAAAGAATATCTTTTAAAACACCATAGTAAGATACTTTTCTAACAACTTGATTTGTGTCTCTTGCTCTGGATTGACATATTGTTTCCGCTTCAATCGAAACACCACTGTCTTGTGTGCTTCTCTCCACATTCTTAGTGTGAAATCGTTGTCCATTAACAATATATCCAGAATGTGAAGTGACTTCTCTTCTAGGCCCATTTGCAAGACACATAATTGTATCAGACACATCACTACCAGCTACATCAATTACTTTTGCAAACCATGAACAGAAAGTCTCCATATGTTTCTTTTGTAACGCACTTTCATTCTTTATGAGACGCCTGTCCATATGTTTAAGCTCCTCCAAATGTTTTCTGTAAGACAAATACTACAACTAAGTTTTTTTTTATATTAATATAATAAAATAAATTAATTAGTCGTGACATTATCCCACTTACTTTATATACAGCTCCACCTCGGCATAATTGAACAAGACATAACGGTGAGCAATCTCTAACATGTCATTTGACATCATTTTCGAGATCCCTTTCGAAATTGGACGGCCATCTACTGTTGTTTCGCCTTCAAAATCCTCATTTCGTGAATGTCTCACCCCTATTTCAGAAGCTTGTTTGATGTGTTCACTACAAAACCGCACACACTCTTTAGCCAAATAGCCCTCAGCTATGCATCCTTCAGCTCTTGCTTTATTTCTAACATATCTTTTATAAACCTTCATCCTCCTAAAGCACGTAAATACAATAGATATATGTTATCAAATTACATATCTAACTACATAAAAGAAAGAAAATTTGATAGAAGTACCTCTCAAATGGATACATCCAACGAAATTGTACTAGTCCACAAATACGAGCTTCGCGTGCAATATGAATAGTCAAGTGAATCATAATGTCAAAAAAGGATGGAGGAAAATATCTTTCAAGCATACACAGAGTCTCGGCAATTTCCTTTTCTTGTTTTTCCAATGAGTTCTTATCAATCACCCTTTGACATACTTCATTAAAATATGCACATAGTCGAAATATGGCATTCCTTGGACCCTTTGGTAGAATATCTCGTAATGCTACCGGTAGTAGTTCTTGCATTAGGACATGATAATCATGAGACTTTAAGCCAGTAAACTTGCATTTATCCAATGATACATGTGTCCCAATATTTGAACTATAGCCATCAGGTAGTTTTAATTGTTGTAATCGCTTACAAAAAAGCTGTTTTTCTTCCTTCTTTAGTGTATGAGGTGCTGGTGGCAAGTAATGTTTCTCTTTTGACTATTGTGGGTGTAAATCTCCCCTGATTTGCATTTCCTTCAAATCCATTCGAAACTTGAGTCCATCCTTTGATTTTCCTTTTATTTTCAATAAGGTCCCAATAATACTCTCACAAACATTTTTTTCAATATGCATTACATCTAAATTATGACGAATGAGTAATACCTAAAAGCAAATAAAGATAAATAAGTTTTTTTTAGGACATATTATGAACTGCAATATAAATTAAAATAATGAAACAAATTACTATTACAATTACTTACCTCCCAATAAGGTAAGTCAAAAAATATAGATTTTTTCTTCCACGCCACAGTTCCCGTTTTTTTCTTTTGTTTTCTCTTTCCACCTATTTGCTTGACACCTAGTTTTATCTTTCTTTTTTTACCCCAATCATTTTTAATATTTTTCACAGCATGAAAAATTTCAGTCCCAGACAATATTTTAGGCCTCCACCTGTGTTTTTCATTCCCATCAAACCAACTCATTTTTTCCCGAAACTAGTGAGTAGGAGACAGAAATCGGTGATGAACCAAGTAAACAGTCTTAGTACAACAATTCAATCTATTTGAGCATGTGTCATCACTACATATTGGACAAGCTTTTTTACCCTTTGTTACATGACCAGAAAGGTTACTATAAGCTGGAAGGTCACTTATTGTCCACATCAAGATTACCTTTAAATTAAATTTTGGCTTTGCAAATGCATCATAAATTTCCACGCCTTTATCCTATAGCTCTTTCAAATCATCTATAAGTGGCTCCAAATACACATCTATATCATTCCCCGGTTGCTTCGGCCCTGAGATTAGTAATGTTAACATCATATTTTCTTTAGACATGAGTACTAATGGTGGAAAATTATAAACGACCAACATCACTGGCCAACAACTATATGCTGAACTAAGGTTACCAAATGGATTAAATCCATCGGTTGAAAGGCTAAGTCTCAAATTCCGTGAATCTGATGCAAAAGAAGGCCATGCTTTATCTATCTCATGCCATGCAGGAGTGTTAACCGGATGTCGCATCTTCCTATCTCGACTTCTATGAGTTGAATGCCACATTACTTGTTTTGCTATTTTAGGGGACCGAAACATTCTTCTAAACCTTGGTACTATTGGAAAGTACTGTAACACCTTAGTTAGGACACCATCTTGAACTTTCTTAGTGCATTCATTCTCCTTCCACTGCGAAGCACCACATTTTGGGCATTCATTCATGTGTTTATTCTCTTTTGTAAACAAACAACAGTCGTTCTTACAGGCATCTATTTTCTTATATCCTAAATCAAATGTCTTCAAAATTTTCTTGGTTTCATAAAAGCTCTTAGGAAGTTTGTTATTATCAGGAAGCATATCCCCAAAAGTTTTAAGAAGCCCGTCAAAACATATATCCGATAAATTATGCACTGTTTTGTGCTTATATAAGGCGACAATTGCAAACATAATCGTATACTTTGTGCATTCAGGGTATAAAAGGGTCTCAGCATTTTCCAATGCCTTCTGAAACTCAGCCTCTCTTGTTTCATAGTTAAGATCCGAAACACCATCTTTGTCATCATTAAAGAAAACATCTCTATACATCTCATATGTCTCTGGCATTTCAACATCATTTCCATCATTTCCATGTTAGGGAGATTCACTCGGATATTCCCCATGAAAGTACCAAGTCGTATATGTTGGATCCATTCCATGTTCCATTACATGACCATATACTGTGTCAAAGTGTTGGTGTACTGAATTTTGACATTCATTACAAGGGCATAGAATCTTGTCTGGATGCCCCGCATTCTCTTGAGCCCAATCGGCAAACCTTCGTGCTCCTTCTATATACTTTGGATCAACTCTATAAAATTAAAGCTTTAACTTTTAATTAAATATAAAATTAGTGTAAAAGATTTAACTTTTATAAACACATTCCAGTACATATAATAACCTGTAAAAGATGTGCATCCATTCTTTATCCATCTCTATTTTCCTAATTATTCAATAGGAACCTGTCACAAAAAGTAAATTATGAAATATATGATTATTCCATGGTGTGTGTGTGTATATATATATATGAACAATAAACACAAATTGTAAAGGTGCTAATTCCATCAATCATGTTTAAGCTAAATGGGTTTCATAAGCAATTTGTAATATTTTCAGTTTATTGGAAACTTCAAATTTCTCTGTTAAGAAAAAACATAGAGATGGGAGCAGATTATTGGTCAATTCAATCTGCCTCTCTAGTTCAGCTTGCTAGTAAATTTAGGTATTAATTTTTTAAGTTCATGGATATGAGGATTTCTAATTCAAGAACCATACTCCTAAAACTATTTAGGCATTTGATGAATAAAGAAAACCATGGTAATTGTAGCAACAAGATCATGAGCTCAGTTTTTGTATTTGTAATTTGTCTTGGCATAATTGATCTAAAAATGAAAATCTCTGCTTGCATCTCAAAAAAAAAAAAATTAATATTTGCAAAGGAAGAAAGAGATAAAGAAAAAAAAATAATAGAAAACTGCATACATCTAGTTCAGTAAATGGACATTAAGTTAAGATTATGAGAAATTACATTCTAGTAACAAGTAAATACAGGAGGATGAATGCATATAGACGCAACACCCAAATTGAATAGATAAAAATATGAAATTAGAACTTACCAGCATAAAATCTTTG